CGCCGCTGCGCCCATCTAAAAAATCTTCAACCGCACGTCCCGTTGTAGCTCATAGCTCAAGCCATTCAGGAACTTGCTCACGAGGCGGCCCTGATCCACGCAGTTCATGTCTTTCCCCAGTTCCACAAGCCGTCCGTAATACGCCAGCAATGACTCTCCTGTTCTCCGCTTGAAGTCCCGAAACTCCACTATTCGCTCAGGTGTCTGCAAGGGAAATTGGTCCCGCAGCATCTCCAAGAACTTCTTCGTAGGATCCCTCTCCCCCGGCTTCCCTTGTGCGGCCCAGTCCAGCAGCTCGCGCCGGCAGATACGGTAGTAGGTCTCGGCCTCCCCCGTAAGCGTGTTCGCCAAGCCTCGAAAGAATTCATCCGCCGCCAGTCTATCTCGCTCCCAGCGGGCCCTCAAGTTCTCCAGCTGCATCAGGTAATTCTTGAGTGATGGACCACGACGCACTTCTCCTGAAAATCGCTCGGACACCTCCACCTTAGGTAGCATCGTGTAACGCCACCACATCGCCGCTGCTTCTTCCTCAGATCCCTGCCACGATGCGCTCCGCTGGTAGGGCCGGTCGCTTCCCCTCCGTCCTCCTGAAGCCGCCACTGCTTCAGCGGATCCTGGTTTCACTGCTCCCGCTCCGGCTCTGCCGTCTTCCACTCCGCGCGTCTGCGCTTGTTCCTCCGCCGAACCAGAGGCTCCGCTCGTTCTTCCAGTCGTGCCCTCTTCTGCGCTGTGCGCCTCCGCCTCCTTCCCGAGCTCGCGCTCCGCGCGTTCCTTCTCTTCGTTTTCGTCCATCGCAGCCGTTCGTCCGTCGAAATCCTTCGCGGCAAACTCCAATCCTGATCTCGTGGGCATACCCTAACCGCTCCTGAACATTTTTGCTTGTATGTGACCAGTACCTAGCTCCTTCACATATCTTTCTTGCCACCAGCTTTGCCTAAGTCACACAGCTTGTCATATCTCCCTAACTCTACTACTTGCTCAAGATGTTGCAAGAACTTGTATTAGAAAGGAAGCATACAAGCAAACAAGGATAGCTACAACAAGGCTCCTCCTATCTACCAGATCTGCCTCCGCCCTGCTAGTCCCGTCTTCCCTTGCCTCTCCTCGGTGGCTATCGCAACCTTGGAGCAGACTAGTAACCATCTTGCCAACTGCCTCTGTTCCCCGCCTCCTGCTACCTTCCTCCAGCTGCCACTGTACTGTTCCAGCTGGCTCCTTGGAGCACACCTGCACACAAACGAAAGCAAACACACATGCACGCGAACACCCATCCAAGCTCTGGTGGTAACCTGCTTGCCCAGCCGCTGCCTGGCGCTGTAATCCTCCCCTTGCCCACCTTCCACTTACGTTAGTCCCGCCCTGTTTGCTTCCCATGCCCGTCTCCAACCCTTCGCTTCGGCAGACGTCAACCTCCAGCTCACCCCCTTTCACCCCAACCATCGCCTGTCTCTTCCCCGTGCATCCTTGTTACTAGCCCAGCGCGCTATCTACATTATATACACTTTGTACAACCCCCGTGCTCTTACCCTTCTCAACTCACATTCATGCAAATATGACACAAGCAAAAGCATGCATAATAAAATAAAACTAAGAAAGGTAAAGCATAATAAGGTAAGTCCAAGTAGGCAGAGCCGTCGTACTCTCACACCTTCCAACACCACGGCTACAACTGAAGAAACTGCTCGCCTCTTCTTCGACCGCATTGACATTATCCACGGTATTGTCAAACTGTAATTGTTTTGGTTTGTATTTGCTAGTCTAGGTGGTGTACACTTATGTTTAGGGTTGGCTAGGGTTGACCAGGGTTTGCTATATCTTCCTTGTCTCTATCATTTCTAGTCATTGATTATTCCGTTACCTCGTTGATATGGTATAGAGCACTTCGATTCCCATGGCCCCACTGCCACGCGCTCGCCCATTAGTAACGCGTTACCCGTAGTGCCCCGTCACCCCTTAGCGCCAGCCCCCCCCCCCCCCCCCCCCCCCCCCCCCCGTCGAATCGCGCGCTAGAGAGAGACCCCTGCGGACCCCTGCGGACCCCTGCGGAAGGCCCCCGCGGGTCCCCCCGAATCGCGAGCTATAAGGCCCCCGAGGGCCCCCGAATTGCGAGTTAGAAGGACCCCCGCGGGTCCCCCACGTCGCGACTTAGGAAGGCCCCCGCGGGCCCCCCGAATCGCGATCTAGAAGGACCCCCGCGGGTCCCCCCCACGTCGCGACCTAGGAAGGCCCCCCCCGAATCGCGAGCTAGAAGGACCCCCGCGGGTCCCCCCACGTCGCGACCTAGGAAGGCCCCCGCGGGCCCCCGAATCGCGCGTTAAAAGGGCGCTTCCCTCCCCCCCCCCCCCCCCCCCCCTCGTGGCCCGTCGCCCCGCAGCCCTCCCTGTCGCGTCCCTTTCCCGTCGCGTCCCCGTCGTGTCCCTTCCCTGTCGCCTCCCCGTTGCGTCCCCTCTCCGTCGCCTCCCCGTCGCGTCCCCTCTTCGTCGCCTCCTCGTCGCCTCCCCTCCCCGTCGCCTCCCCTTCCCCTACCCGTCGCGTCCCTGTCAGAACAGTAGCTAGAAAGCAGGAGCCATAGCTAGGGTTTAGCTAGCTAGGCAAGAGAGAATAGGCAAAAGAGGGAGTTCACTAGCAAACATTGGGATACATATAGCAAACCCAAACAGGGCTGTACTCACTATAGAGTACCCCACTGCAGACTAGAGAAACATAACATTCTGACAGTCCCCTCCCCGCCGCCCTGCAATCCTCCAGCTCCGTACGCCAGCCCCGTCGCGCCCCCGTACGCCAGCCCCATCGCGTCCCTGTTCGCCAGCCCCGTCGCCAGCCCCGTCCGCCAGCCTTGTCGCCAGACCCGTCCGCCAGCCCCGTCCGCCAGCCCTGTCGCGTCCCCTCCCCGTACGCCTTGCAGTCCGCCAGCTTCGCCTGCCACCAGCCCTCCAGAACCGCCCAGGAACGTCCAGAACCGCCAAGGACCGTCCAGAACCGCCCAGGACCGTCCAGAACCGCCCAGAACCACCCAGGACCGTCCAGAACCGTCCAGAACCGCCCAGGACAGTCCAGGACCGCCCAGAAGCGCCCAAAACTGCCCAGGACCGCCCAGGACCGTCCAGAACCGTCCAGATCCGCCCAGGACCGTCCAGGATCGCCCAGAACCGCCCAAGACCGTCCAGAACCGCCCAGAACCACCCAGAACCGCCCAGAACCGCCCAGAACCGCCCATAACCGTTCCCCACCGCCTGAACCAGCAGCAGCTTAGGCTGCCCCCAGCACCAGCAGCGGCTTTGGCTGCCGCCAGAACCAGCAGCAGCATAGGCTGCCCCCAGGAGAACCAGCAGCAGCATAGACCCCCCCCCCCCCCCCCCCCCCCCTCCCCCTCCCCTCCAGCAGAAGCAGCAGCAGCATAGGCTGCCCCCAGCAGATCCAACAGCAGCATTGGCTGCCCCCAGCAGCACCAGCAGCAGCATAGGCTGCCCCCAGCAGACCCAGCAGCAGCATAGGCTGTAGCCAGCAACCGCTCCTAGCCGCTTCCCACTGCGCTCGGCCGTCTCTAGCGCCTACCATGGCGTGTGCTAGAGTTCTGCAGCAGCAGCAGGGTCAGCAGTACTACACTCATCTCAGACAGACCCTAAGTTTACCAGTAAGTTCTGGAGGGAACCCACGGGCTTGTTGGGGACAAAGCTGTCTTCAGCATACCACCTCCAGAAAGACGGACAGACAGAGCGACTCAATCAGGTGGTTGAACGGTTCCTGCATACCGCATGCAAGGACGACACCTGCCACTGGGATCTACAGTTACCGACTCTTGAGTTCGCTTACAACAACGCTTCACACGCGGCCACAGGGAAATCACTATTCTTTTTGTGCTACGGATAAGAACCCATCACACCGCAGTAGCCAACCATACTGGCACACGTCCAAGCCGCACACGACTTCGTCACCACCATGCAGTGGCTATGGGAGAAAAATCAACGTCGTCTCACCACGATGCAAAACTCCTAGAAGCAATATGCCGATCCACAGCGACGTGATCACTCAGTAGTAGTCGGAGATTAGGTTCGCAACTTGGACTTGTCTCATCTTCCGTCCAAGCTCCGGCCTCGATTCTGTGGTCCGCTTTGCGTTGAGGCCATGGTGACACCAGTAAATTCTGCTTGCGCTTACCGACTACGTGGAAGCTTCACAAAGCTTTCCATGTTCAGCTATTGAAGCCCTACAAAAGACCCCAACCAACAGTATCAGGGACGTCATCTACTACCACCATCACCACCTGTAATCGTACAGGATGAATTAGAGTATGGGGTGGAATGTGTCCTCGCTCATCGACGCAGATGCGGCAACACCCTCGAGTTCCTGAAGGGATACGACTCGTCGAAGGACAGTTGGGTTGCAGAAGCCGATATGGGCAACGCACGACGTGCGCTCAAAGATTATATTGTCAAGCAGGGTGTTTCTTACACCACCCAGCTTTGAGGGGGAGACGTGTGAGAGTTCTGTGGCTATGCTTACCCATTCTTGCTGATCTATATTTTTCGATGCTCATTTTTTGCTAATTTTCCTAGTTTCGGTGCTTTACTAAAAAACTTTTAAATTTATAGCACCGAATTAGGTTGCGTGCACATATTTATGTTTAATTTCGATTTATTCCACGTGACTTTGCGTAACGCGTGATTCCACCGAATTGATTCTACCAAATTCGGGAAGGTCATGTTCCTGATGCTTTATAACCTAGGAAAATTCTCGTAACACCTAGTTATCTTGCCTTGTTTCGTGCCTATATATAGCCTCGTGTTGTACCTAAGTGATAATATAATACTTTCTAAACTCGATCCTTCGACCCTCACACTTCCACCGTCGCCCGGCCGTGAAGACATTGGAGGTGGAGGACCTGCCACTCTCAAGTACTCCAGACTCTTCTCGCTGGACCTGCCACTCTCAAGTCTTCCCGACTCTTCCCGCCAGCGCTCGGCAGTGGAGACATTTGAGGTAAAGGACTTGCCACTCTCATGGAGACATTGGAGGAGGAGGACCTTCCACTTTTTAAACTTCCTGACTCCTCCCGCCAGCGCACGACTGTGGAGACATTGGAGGAGGAGGACCTGCGACTTCCAAGTCTTCCCGACTCTTCTCGCTGGCGCACAGCCGTGGAGACATTGAAGGTGGAGGACCAGCCACTTTCTTAGAGACATTGGATATGGAGGACCTGCCACTCTCCTGGAGACATTGGAGGTGGAGTTCCTGCCACTCTCAAGTCTTCCCGACTCTTCCCGACGGACCTGCCACTCTCAAGTCTTCCCGACTCTTCCTGCCGGCGGAAGAGGACCTGCCACTCTCAAGTCTTCCCAACTCTTCCCACCGGCGTCAGTCCGTGGTGACATTAGTGGTGGAGGACCTGCATCTCCCAAGTCGTCCCGACTCTTCCCGTTGGACGTGCCACTCGCAAGTCTTCCCGACTCTTCCCGCCGGCGCCCGGCCGTGGAGACATTGGAGGTGGAGGACATGCCACTCCCTAGTCTTCCCGACTCTTCCCGCCGACGCCCGTCCGTGGAGACATTGGAGGTGGAGGACCTGCCACTTTCAGGTCTTACCGACTCTTCCCGCAGGCGGTGGAGGACCTGCCACTCCCAAGTCTTCCCAACTCTTCCCGCCGGCAGTGGAGGACCTGCCACTCTCAAGTCTTCCCGACTCTTTCCGCCATACCTGCCACTTGCAAGTCTTCCCAACTCTTCCTGACGGCACCCGTCCCGTGGAGACATTGGAGGTGGAGGACCTGCCACTATCAAGCCTTTCCGACTCTTCCCGCCGGACCTGCCACTCTCAAGTCCTCCCGACTCTTCCCGCCGACGCTCGGCCGTGGAGACATTAAATGTGCAGAACCTGCCACTCTTCTGGAGACATGGGAGGTGGAGGACTGTCACTCTCAAGTCTTCTAGAGTCTTCTCGCCTACGCTCGGCCGTAGAGACATTGGAGGTGGAGGACCTGCCACTATCAAGTCTTCCTGACTCTTCCCGCCGGACCTGCCGCTCTCGAGTCTTCCCGACTCTTCCCCGCCGGCGCTTGGCCGTGGAGACACCGGAGGTGGACAACCTGCCACTCTCCTGGATGCATGGGAGGTGGAGGACCTGCCACTCTCGAGTCTTCCCGGCTCTTCCCGCTGGACCTGCCGCTCCCCGGTCTTCCCGACTCTCCCCGCCCGCGCCCGGCCGTGGAGACACCGGAGGCGGAGGACCTGCCGCTCCCGAGTCTTCCCGGCTCTTCCCCGCCGGCGCTTGGCCGTGGAGACACCGGAGGTGGACAACCTGCCACTCTCCTGGATGCATGGGAGGTGGAGGACCTGCCACTCTCGAGTCTTCCCGGCTCTTCCCGCTGGACCTGCCGCTCCCCGGTCTTCCCGACTCTCCCCGCCCGCGCCCGGCCGTGGAGACACCGGAGGCGGAGGACCTGCCGCTCCCCGGTCTTCCCGACTCTCCCCGCCCGCGCCCGGCCGTGGAGACACCGGAGGCGGAGGACCTGCCGCTCCCCGGTCTTCCCGACTCTCCCCGCCCGCGCCCGGCCGTGGAGACACCGGAGGCGGAGGACCTGCCGCTCCCCGGTCTTCCCGACTCTCCCCGCCCGCGCCCGGCCGTGGAGACACCGGAGGCGGAGGACCTGCCGCTCCCCGGTCTTCCCGACTCTTCCCGCCGGAGCTGACCCTCTCAAGTCTTCCCGACTCTTCCCGCCAGCGCTCGGCCGTGGAGACATTGGAGGTAGAGGACTTGCCACCTCATGGAGACATAGGAGGTGGAGGACCTGCCACATTTTAGACTTCCTGATTGTGACACGACTTTCAGAGGAGTGCGCAGTGCAGTCGTCATAGCATTTAACATCTCAAGGATACAGCACACTCGATATTAACGAATACATATAGTCTTTTAAATGATCTAATGGAAAAGAGAGAGGAGGGTGGAACTAGAGAAGTGAAAACTGCAAATGAGACTAGGTGGCAAGTCCCGTGGACCTGCCGAAAGGTAAAGGAGCCTGTCTCCTTTACAGCAAACCCCTCTTTAAGTCGAATCATAATCTGTATTTTTTTTGTTACAAATTATTTTTCATATTGTGACTCGACTTTCAGAGGAGTGTGCAGTGCAGTGCAGTCGTCAAACGAGACATCAAGGGAGTGTTCGGCGACAGCCCCTCTCGAATCGGTTGGGCTGGATCGAAGAGGGTCCGGGAGTGCACGAGAGGCGCCAACAAGCCCGCGATCGAGTTTGGTAATGTATAGTTCGTTGGCCCTGTCGCTACGCCACAGACCAAGACCTTTGAAGAGTCGGTCCGTCACTCCAACATCGACAGCCACAGTTGCCGCCGATTTACGGAAAGAATGGGTGCCGAGTAGATCTGGGTTAAGGCCGATGCGGGCAAAGCCGTTGTGGCACCAACTCCGCACGGTCGCATACGGAGGGGAATGGTCGGAAGAGGAAGCCCCGACACCCGGCTGAAACATGTGAATCAAGAAAACAGGAATGAAATGACTAAGTGAAAGTTGGGTACAAAAGGCAAACCCTAGGAAACTGTACCCCATATGTGCTACCCCACTATAGCCTACAGTAACTATGTCAAATAACTCTGACACACCCCCATAGGCAAAGTGGGGGAGAACAAGGGGTCACAAGACCAGTCAAGCAAAGCAAAGCAAGCTCAGGGTGGATCACAAAGTCACCACACATTCCGAGCACAAGTTCAAGGCCACAAGGCCAGTTCACATGCAGGATTACATATATATATAAGGCTAAACAAGCAAGAGCAGGAGTATATATATATGCAACAGTACAAACAAGGTCAAGAGGTGAGCAAGTGAGGCAAGGTAGGCACAAGACCCAGCTGAGTACAGAAGCGCTGATGATCACAAGGCGCAAGTGCCTTGGTGAAGATATCAGCAGTGTTGGCCTCAGAGGCCACGTACGCAAGTCGCAGCTGACCACGCTGCTGTAGCTCACGAGCAAGGAAGTAGCGAAGAGCAATGTGCTTCGTTCTGTGCTCCAGTCTCTGCTCTCGACACAAGGCCAGCATGGCCTTGTTGTCTACGTAGAGCACTGGAGGAGAACGAGGCGGCTCTCCGAGGTCAGTCAGCAGGTAGGTGAGCCAGCGAAGCTCCTGTGCAGCCATGGCCCCGGCGTAGATCTCAGCCTCGCAACTGGAGCCGAGAACAGAAGACGAGCGAGTAGCCCGCCACGAAACAGAGCCGGAACCAAGGCTGAAGGTGTAACCCTGTGACGACCGCTGCGTAGCCTGGTCGTCAGCCCAAGAAGCGTCTGCGTGTCCAGTGAGGACCACTGGACTCTGCCCTCCAAGCACAAGCCCCATGCCCGATGTACTGCACAAGTAGCGCAACACCCTCTTCGCTGCAGCCATGTGCTCCGGTCTGTGTCTCCCAGGAGCAACATAGCGTGCAAGAATGCTAAGAGAGTATGCAAGGTCAGGTCGTGTGCAGGTCATCAGGTACATGAGGCAGCCAACAAGCTCTGGGTACGGGCCACTCGACTCTACGGACTCATCCGAAGGCAGAGCTGAGAGCGAGTGGCGAGTAGGCAGAGGAGTGGCCTGAGGCGAGGAGTACGTGAAGCCGAAGCGCTGAAGGACCTGCTGCACCATGTGTGACTGAGTCAGGGTAATGGTGCGGCGTGCTCTGTCCCGGGTGATCTGCAAGCCAAGGTAGCTGCGCAGTTCACCCAGGTCTGTGCACGTGTGTCTCTTCTGCAGCTCGGACTTCACGTGGGCGAGTCCAGCAGTGTCAGCTGTGGCAAAGACCAAGTCGTCGACGTACACGAGGATGTAGAACGGCTGCAAAGAAGTGTCGGTGCGCAGAAACAGCGACGGGTCGGCAGTAGAGGGAGCAAACCCAAGAGCCGCAAGTGTAGTCCTCAGTGTGTCGTGCCACTCACGCGGTGCCTGGCGGAGACCGTAGACTGGCCGCCGGAGGCTCCACTGGGTGCCAGGAGGAAAAGACCCAGTGAAGCCAGGTGGGCGACGCAGCCAGATCTCCTCGTGCAGGCTGCCCTGCAAGAAAGCAGTGCTGAAGTCAAGAGAGTGCAGCTCGTAGTCGCGGTGAGCAGCTATGTGCAGCAGTACCCGAAGAGTGGTCATCTTCGGGGTGGGAGAGAAGGTCTGAAAGTAGTCAACTCCCTGCCGCTGACTGAAGCCACGAGCCACGTAACGCGCCTTGAAGACAGGCGGAGAACCCGGCGGCCGCTTCACCCTGAAAATCCACATGCCACTGACGATGTTCGCCCCAAGCGGGGGAACCTCGTCAACGTAGGTGCCTGTGGACTTCCAGGAAGCCATCTCTGCGTCCATAGCTGCCTGCCACTGAGAGGAGTAGGGACCCTCTATCGCCTCCGCGTAAGAGCGCGGAGTCGGGATGTCAAGTGCATCCGGGTCTCCCTCAGGGGTAAGCAGTACGGACACGAGATGAGGTGAAGCAGCAGCCAAACACTGGAACTCCTCCTGCCTGTCCTCAAGGACGTCCGTGCCAAGGGCACACTCACCCCCGACGGACGGAGGACAGACAGACTCAGACTCAGCAACAAGACTAGCAGCGTAGTCTAGACGACAGCGAGCAGCAAAGTCGACGAGCTCAGTAACTAGGGCAGACGCAGCAGTGGACTCAAAGGAAGGGTCAGTGACAACAGTAGCAAGGAGACGCGTGACAGTAGGACTGGCAGCACGAAGAGAGTCCGACTCCGGGTCAGGAAGAGCAGGAAGAGAGGACTCAGGAGGAGAAGGCAAAGGGGCACGCAGAGGAGCAGTGGACGGACGCAGAGACATCCGGTGCGTGCCAGGGACAGGAGGAGGACGCTGACGCGAACCACGACCACTAGTGCGAGAGGCACGGACAGGCGACGCAGGGCGAGACGCAGGCTCACGACGCTCAGCAAGACCTCCAGTAGGACCAGTGTAGGGAGAAGGAGCGGGCAGTGGGGAGGCAGGCTGTAACTGTAACTGTGACGGGACAGGCTGTGGACACTCTAAGGGAGGAGGAGGACCAGTAGAAGGCGGGAGACCAAGAACCTGCTGAAGGAGCGGAACGAAGTACGGCCGAGGCCGTGTGGCGACTCCAGACACAGCAGGGACAGCACCAGTACCCCCAGCGGCAGCACCAGCGCCAGCAGTACCTCCAGCTCCAGCACCCCCAGCAGGACCGCCTCCAGGACCGACAGCAGTAGCCTCAGCGCCAACACCCTCAGCAGCTCCAGCTCCAGTCGTACCCGCAGGCCCAGCAGCTCCAGTACTCCCAGTACGAGCACCTCCGGGACCCGCGGCACCAGCACCCTCAGCAGCCGAAGAACCTCCAGCTCCAGCAGCACGCCTCCAGCGCCGGGCAAACCACTCGCGCAGCTCCTGTGGAGAGAGTGCCTCCCGTCGAGACGAAGCACCCGGAGAACCTCCAGGCTCAGCACCGCCAGACGCCACACGAGCAGGCCCAGCTCCCTCAGGCTCCGCACCCCCAGGCTCAGCACCTCCAGGCGTAGCACCCCCAGGCGTAGCACTCCCAGGCTCAGCACCCCCAGGCTCAGCACCCCCAGTAGTAGCACCCCCAGGCTCAGCACCCTCAGGCTCAGCACCCCCAGTAGTAGCACCCTCAGGCTCAGCACCCCCAGGCGTAGCACCCACACGCTCAGCACCCCCAGAGACAGCACCCCCAGGCTCAGCACCCTTAGCAGCACCAGAGTCACCAGTAACCTCGACAGGTTCGACTGCGTCTACCTGGGACACACCTGAAGGGGCAGGACCCTGAGGGGGGAGGGGGTCTACCGGGGGGGGACCTGGGACAAGGAAGAGCGGTGGCGGGGGGAGGGACGGAGTGCGGTAGGGGAAGAGGCGGTAGTAGGGGACCGACTCGTCAAACGTGACGTCCTGGGAGGACGGAACACGGCGAGAGGTGGGGTGGTAGAACTGCCACCCTGGCGCGTCAGGGGGGAAGCCAAGGAAGACGCAAGGAGCAGCACGAGGGGACAGCTTGTCCGCAGACAAGTCGCGGACAAACGCCCGAGATCCCCAGACACGGAACGCAGACGCATCGCCAACCTTCCCCGTCCACAGCAAAGCTGGGGAGGTCTCCGGCATGGAGACCCTGGGGTGAAGGTTGATCTGATGCGCCGCGTACCGAACCGCAAACGGCCACAGAAAATGGGGGGCAGCCGCATGCATCATGGACGTACGGGCGACATCCATGATCATGCCAATGCGGCGCTCAGCAATCCAATTTTGCTGTGGAGAGTCCGGAAGCGTGAAGGTCTGGCGGATGCCTCGTGCACGACAGTAGGCTCGCAGAAGGCCAGAGGAGAACTCTCCACCTCTGTCAGAGTGCAGACGCTGAACAGGAAAGTCCGAGCCGAAGCTCTGCCTGAGCTGGAGACGAGCTGCGCGGATCCAGTCGATCAACATCTCAGTGACATCACCCTTGCTGCGCAAGGGGAAGACTGTGGTGTAACGCGAGTAGTCGTCAACCACCAGCAGGAAGTAGCGCTCGTGACCCTGTCCACGGACGCGGGCCGGGCCCCACACGTCCATGTGAAGCGTCTGCAGCGGGGCCTCTGTCGGAGGAAACTGGGAGGAGTGAGGGGCAGCCCGCTGCCGCCCCTCGACACAGGGGACGCAGGTAGGGCCAGACCCCGGAGGAAGGGGAGGGAGGGACCGGGGAAGACCAGAGA